ATACAAAATTTATAACAAAAAAAAAAAGTAAACTTAAACACATGATAGAAAAACCTAAAAAATAAAATAAAATAGGACAAAAAATGAAGCTAACAAGATGAAACACTGCCGTGTTGAAAAGTCATTCAATTTAATACCAAAATTACATTTTTGTTTTGGTAAATGTATGAATATTATTGCAAAATAACGTGGACTAGATTTAAGGGGGTCTGGGGAAGAGAAACCATTGGCGGAAATTACTCCATTGATGTTGTAAAATGGAGGACAAAAGACGGCATGACCAGCATCTGCGAGTCAGCATGCAAAATCCAAAAAGCTAAGTGAAAAAAAATAGTACTTCAACACATAAAGTCCCAGACTGAATGCCAGATCTCTCCCAGTCTCCCAGTAGGTCCATCTGCATTCCCTGTCTTCCAGAAGTCCTTCATTTATTTCCTTTTCCAGAATTCCCAAAATCTTCTGGTTTCCATTGATTCCAAAAGGGATAATTTTTTTTTTCTTGTTTTATCTTGATTGGGGAGTTCTGGTTAAGTGGTCATGGGTTCTGTTTATTGTTATTGAGATCTGATGTCAAAGTCGGTTCCTTAAGATTCGGTTCCCATGTCTTCTTCCATTTTTAGAAGATACTGATTCTAAAAATATGAGAGAAAATTGAGTAGTATAGAAGGAAAAGGTTCCTCATTTCTAAGTGGGTCTACAAAAAGGACGATGGCTTTGAACTTTCTAGAGACAGAAGCAGTTGTGTAATAACTGCATACTGTTGAGGTTTGGTTTCTTGTTTGAATACTGACTTGAGTAGTTAAGTTTGTGTTTAATTGTAGTTTCCTTTCTCAAGCAAAAGTGAAAGATAAAGGAACAGGTAGGTTGGCTATTTGGTGTAGAGCCTGGACTGGATCATTCTATTGCCTTTCCTTGTCTTGGCGTTTTTCTCTAGTCAAAAAATTTCTGCGTCAGCTAATCCCTGATTTGTGCAGGACTATTAGATTTTTGGCAAAAGAACAACCATTTTGCCACACCCTTTCTACATCTGTCATCTTCCGGTTTTTGTTTTTTGGTCTGAGCTAAATTGGGAGAATCCATTTTCTTATTTTTGCCTTTTCTGTACCGTCTTTGATGTTGGAGACCAGAATTTGTTGATTTTCTGGTCTTTCCATGTAGGATTAATGTGGTTTGGGTGAGTGTTTTAATAGTTGAGTTTATAATTTCTGAATTTCTGTATGAAATTTGTGGGATTATTTGGAGAGAGAGAGAGAGAGAGAGTGAGGAAGGTCTCTTTTGGGGCTTAGTTTGGGAGGATAGCTTTGGAGGTTTCTGACTAAAGTTGCTTAGAATGGCAGAAAACTCCGGTAGTGATAAAGAACTGAGGTCACTGGCACTAACACCGACATGGTCTGTTGCTACCGTGTTGACAATATTTGTGGTGGTTTCTTTGGTTGTGGAACGCTCAATTCACTGCCTGAGCAATGTAAGTACTGGTATCTAGGTTTTAACTTCTGGTTATCCTTCTATCAGTTAATAATGTATGTTGTGTTATTTTTGCACATTTCTAGAATATTTCATGTTAATTTGGTTAACAAGTGAAAATTTATCTGATACTAATATTTGACTTTTAATTGCCACTGAGAATTTTTCAGTGGCAGTGAATATGTAGATGATAATGTATAAGCGATCTAGAGGTGGTTATGTACCATCACTGGAATTTGTTAAATACGAGAATTGAGAAATAATATTTCATGGTTGCTTGGGTTTTAATTGGACATAATCTGTAATTATGGTGCTTGTGGTTTTCTGCAACTCTTGACTATCTAGTATCACTGGATTAATATACTTTCTGATAACTTCTCTATTCTTTTATCAAACCACAAAGGTAAAGAGGTTTGTATTAGTTATAATACTTGGAAGCTTTCTACTGAGTTTCCTTTTTTCATTCTTCCAGTGGTTGCGGAAAACCAACAGAAAACCTTTGCTTGCAGCTGTAGAGAAAATGAAAGAAGGTAATGGCATATGAATTATGTGCAGCACTGCAGCTTATTGGAAATTGTTGAATAATTAATTAACATGACTCACATACTCTTTTCTTGGCCTTATTTGTGACTTTCTTTATGATGCTTTTGAACTTCTGTCTTCAGAGTTAATGCTGCTTGGCTTCATATCCCTCTTTCTAACAGCCACCTCAAGCACAATTGCCAATATTTGCATTCCATCAAAGTTCTACAATAGCACTTTTGCTCCATGTACCAGGTCTGAAATTGATCAACAACTTGAAGATGATGGTTCCAAGGAGCGAAAACTTTTGATGAGTCCTGTTTCTCACTCATTTAGGAGAATTTTGAATAGCATGAATCGAAATACCTGCAAAGAGGCATGTGAATTATCCATATCTGACTCTAGTATTCAATTTTTTTTTTCTTCTTTTTGTATTTCGTGATAAAAATATTTTTTGTTATTGCATTTTCTTTTAAACTTTTTTTGCTCTAGATTCATAACTAGACTCAATGTAGTGTACAACCTCGGATGATATGAAAATTACTCTGTTCTGCAGGGTCATGAGCCTTTTGTGTCATATGAAGGTCTTGAGCAGTTGCACCGCTTCATATTTGTCATGGCTATCACACATATATCCTACAGTTGCTTAACGATGTTGCTGGCAATTGTGAAGGTTTGACCTTGAGATTGTAATCATAGTAATTGTGACCAAGCAATTTTATGTAGACGGACTTATCCTAGATTTGTTTTGTAAGATTGCTGTTCAGCTGTTTTTGTAAACATGCTTCTCTTTGTGACTGAGGAATTATAACCGTTTGGCCAGATTCATAGTTGGAGGGCATGGGAAGAAGAAGCTCATATGGACCGACACAAGTCATTACACAGTAAGGCAAACTAGTATTTTTAATTTAAATTCATTTCCTAAGTTAGTTGAAAAAAACTTGTAGAGTAAGAAATTATGTGTTTTAACTTCTTAGAGCTTACTCACAGAGTTTACTACTACATTCTAGTCAATGGGCCTTGTACTACAGGGTACAACTTAAAGTTTTCAGATTCTTCATTTAAAGTATTCATTTATAGAAATGCAATTTTCGACAGAAATTACACGAGAGCTGACAATGCGAAGGCAAACCACTTTTGTCAGATACCATACATCAAGCCCCTTTGCCAAAAATAGGTTTCTGATCTGGGTGGTAGGTAAAAAACATTTTCTACTTGATTAGTTTACTTTCTTTGCTTACTACCATTTTTTTATTGTTTTCTAATTTTATTTGTTTTTAT